AATGTTTAGCGCTTCGATCTCTTCAGGATTGTATATTGGTATAATGAAAATTTTCGATTGTTACTTCTTAAAGTCAATTCTAAAACTTCTTAAAATTGTTAGTTATAGTCATTTCTATATATTTAGAGAGTTCTATCAATTCTATCGTTTCTTAGAGCATAACCATATGTGAGATTTTTATTTCGTTAGTGAGTGTGATCAATGAATTAAAATGCCATGGACCTGGTTGTAACGAATTCAATTTACAGCAATTTCTGTTATGTTTTCATGGATTTTATATACGATTTTATATACAAAAGATGTGATTTTTAAGAAGCAATTTTGCAGCGATATTTTTCACAATTCAAACGTGATAATGTCTTAAATATATATTGAGTTGAACGGAAAGCTGTGCCGTTTTTTCGGTCTTTATCTGTTAGCAGAAAACTGCACGAACTTTCCATTCAACTTAATATATTATTTGTATTTGTAAGAATGTGGAGTGAATGTGTTATTTACTAACCACTATGTTTTGCATTAAGATATATAAAATATACGTTTGCAAATTCGATTGAAATGCAGCATTTGTTTGTCGAAGGCATGGCACATTACCAATGCAAAAAGCAGTACAATACATGCCACTTCAGAAAATTCACTATTCGTATAAACTTTTTAACTGTAACTTTCTTCGCTGTATAGACTTCAGTTTCTCTATCTCATACATATACGATTAGAAGATCTAAAATTATAAGGGCTAAAAAAATATTAGAATAGAATCAGTACGTTTTGCCTACTTTAAGGCAACGTATCTACGACATATCATATTTTATTTTTACTTAATTTTTTTCTTAAAAATGTATGTATTAAAAATATAGAATTGAGGAAAAAAATTCAATAAAAGATAATATATCATGCGTATCAACAAATTTTTTTGATCTTTTATTTATGATATATTTTACGAGAAATTCTAATAGCTTAAGTAGGTGCGTGTTTTCTGTAATATTATTTCAATACATCTAGAATCCTAATTTAAATTGCTGATATCATTAATTAATCGCGCAGATAAATCGTCACATTTTATATGAACGATATGAAATACAATTCTTTTGTGCAGAATATTCGCCATTACAGGTAATAATATAATTTTAATGGCACGCGTTCTTATCCCGATATAAATATTTATTATTCTATCCATCTATGTAATTTATCGATATAACCATATATTCATATACGATTAAAATCGTGTGACTGATTTACATAGATGTGCTATTGCTTCGTCCAATAAATTTTATATGTCATGATATTCTCTGTAATGTTCTTTATCTTGCATATTTTATCTTCCAACGCGTTTTTACCAATAATGATCATATGCGTAATTTCTTGAATACATATTTTTCTCGTCATTGGATTTACCTTTCATTATTTTTGGCCGGATTCTGACTCGACTTTTAGCTAAAGATTGAGGAAGGAGACAAACTTCTTTTATTGACTGATTATCTAATTCTATTGGCTGATTATCATTACATAAAGAACTGTAAAATTTGTATTATACGCTTATTTATGATTGTGAGACGATAATACAATCGTTTATTAGACATATGCCTCGTTCAGGTCGCGCATAAGATAAACAATATTCATCAAATTTTTAATTAAAACATTTTTTTTCACATTATTTATATATCTTCGCGTAATTTTTCATTTAAATTTGGGCAATGTAATTGATATTCTCTTATGTAATAAAACACTATTTAAAATGAAACATTTTAATTTATCCGGCTTAGCTTATTCATTAAAACAATTGATTAGTGAAATATTTTCTATTTTTAACTTCGAAATTTTGTGTATATGTATGTGTACTTAATTAGTTACTACTATAACAACTGCAATTCTCTTGGTTCACAACGTTATAAATTACTACATTCTTGAGAGAAGAGTTAAAGAAAGTTACAAGTAAACATTCCATTTCCTCCGAACACTACTTCATTCGGAATCGGCGACGTATCGCTCTTGCTTCCGTTTGTTGCCATTCGGGGCAAGGAAGAGTTTTGGGCTGAGTAAGCTAGTCGCGTCACCGGCAAAGGGCCAAGGCACGAGCGTACCTTTCGAGCGACTGCAACGGCTGAAATGAGAATGCGGGACGGTCGAGGGCCGCGCGTGAAAAATAAGTTGTGCTGGAGAACAATTAAGGAAATGACAGCCGTAAATTTCGGCGGATCGCGGACACGTTTTAAGAGCGTCTTCTCGCAAGAACGACGAAATTGCTTCCATCAATCCGCCAGGACAAATTAAGGAACCATTGGCAAGTCAGCCCTGTGGAATGGGGTACATTTCTCTTATTTTAACGACATTTTCATAGTAGGCTGACGTTACAGAAGTGAATCTAGAAAATTATCAAGGGACTGTCGCGAAATTAAGAGAATTGCGTTACGAAAAACTTGTGAAGAATTATTCGAGGACGAAATGTATTAAAGAAATCAGGAAAGCTTTTCTATAGTCTAATTATATTTTTAATACTAGCAATTTTGGGAAAAATTTAAGCAAATACTGTGTCAATTAAAAAATGTTAAAAATTGTAATTTTTCGAAAAATTATGCACGTACAATAAACATTTGCATAAAAATCAAACAAAGTTGGTTTTCAAATAGAATGTGTGATCAGTCACTATCGCTTTATCGTTCTTTGCGTACGAGTTTTCAAGATTTGAGATTTTTTCGCAGCAATACATCTCCGAAAAGTCCGCTCTTTTGATTCCCCGAAAAAGTTTCACGAATTAAATGCAAATTACAAATCCATTAAGAAGTAATTCAACGGCACGCTTCGATAATGCTCTTTTTTATTAACAAAATCTTATTTTCGACGAGGAGGATGATGGCGTAATAAACGGTGACGTTCGATATCTCTGGTCTGGCTTAATTGTCTTTTAAATATTTCGTCATGAAACGAACATTAGCCGGTGTGGTTGATAACAGGTTCTCGCTGTATCGCCTCCTTAAGAATTCCGACTTGGTGTTACTAATTAACAGTGGAGGGGCTGGGCGTAATTTATGCGCGAGGCTCGTTACCAAACAGGTGGCGCCGGCTAATGACCTGGGGATACCAATAATTCATTGATTAATGCCGCGCGTTGAATTTGCAAGTCCAGTTATCTCGTATTTTCCGCGCCCCGGAAATAACAATTATCAAACACTTCAAGTTTTCACGATAACAGTCATCCGTTCGTGTGTTTTATATGAAAAATGTATACAATAATTATATTTAATAGACTAGCTATTCTCAATCCACTTTTTATTGTATTATTGTATTATTGTTTCTTTTCACTTATATATTAATATTTTTATTGAATTTTCATTAAAAAATATATAATTTTATATGTCATATTATATAATATCTTACACATTTCAGTGTTAAATACTTTTTAAAGTAACTCTTAAATTACAATTTTTTCTCTCTCGCTCTCTCTCTCTCTCTCTCTCTCTCTCTCTCTCTAACATATTTCTAGATTTATTTCTTATTAAATAATATTAAAATAATTAAAATAATTAAAATAATATTATTATGTATTTATGTAGTTGTATTAAAAAATTAAAAAGTGAAAAAAATCCTTCTTTAACTAAAATAAATTGTTTTTGTTATTTTTAAAACGCAGTAGTTGTAAAATATATTAAGTGTATTTTTTTAAATAGCTATTCCTAAATATCATTATGCTTCACACCGCTTTTTGAAGAGAACATATTTTTTAGAATATGCATATATTATTAATTCTCTCTATCTCTTTTTTACGAATATATTTTATATACATATAATCCATTGAGAGAGTACTAACTTAGGATAGGAAAGGTATACATATTTAGCTTTGCCGCGTATTGTAAAGCCATGTTGGGGATTTATTGAAACTCATTCGCGACCAAAGAGGCAAGTAACCGCTGAACATTACGAAGTCTTAGAGCAGACTGGATGAAACAGCGTATAATTAGATAAGGTGTAAGACGTATTTGGAGCGCAGCCATGCTGGCCCGCCGCCAGTATTCAGTCTTTCGCTATAAGCCTACGAAAAGGGTCAAGGGGGTGTCCCTGGCGAAAAAGAGCGAGAAAGCTCTATTGGTTGGTTACATCGGTCGCATTGATCGCGTGGCACATGTGCGATTGGATAATTTCTCGGCCAATTAAAAAGTAAAAAGAAAACGGACATTCGTGTGATTTTTGCGTGCTTTTTCATTGTCACGTTCAGTATGCAAAGGATATTAATATTATCGACTCTGAAAACTGCAGTTAGTTCGCAGACTTCATTGTATGTGTGACGTATGGATCTTTTCTGGTGCTTAATTTGAACATTCCGAAATTATTTTTTTAATATAAAAATTATGAAAGTTGATTCAAGAGCGAAGGCATTTGCTTTTTTGTATTATATTTTGAATATACCATTGTGTAATTAATAGTTATATTTGGAATGTAATTTTTACACCTGTCGTTATTTTTATTTTTTTAACTTACTAAACTAATTTTGTTACTATCTATTTTTACGTGAACATGAAATGATCATTGGATATATTTATCATAGCAAGTGCACAATATGTCGAATTAGTTGTCATCAAAGATAGGCTAAGCTGAAGCTTTACTTTGAACGCACGCACCGTGTGTTTATCAGGCTACGAGGATTATGTTCCGAAGAGTGTTGCCGCGTTGTTATCTATTAATTTCAATTAGCGTCAGTGATCTTCTGCGTTGCCAATTCTAATTTTGATTGACAGTTGCCTGTGCGAAGGAATATAATTTGGATTTTCGTCGCCGTAAACCGAAGATATCCATTTTTTGTAAAAGAGCATCTTCGAGAAAAATAGCGGAAATGTGTCATAATAAAGGCGATGTTTCGTGTGAATGGGGACAAATGCGATGTTTTACAATAAGAAACATGCAACGTATGAGACGTTATAACAACGTCCAATAAATCTTAAATAGTCGCTGAAAAATTTATATGGTACTCTGTCATTATAAAAAGTAATCAAAGTATTATTTCGTTTCAGAGAGCCTCAGGGAGTATTTCACCAAGTATGGAGACATCACAGAGGTCATGGTCATGAAAGATCCCACCACGCGACGATCAAGGTAAGCACTTTGTACATATTTTGTTTTTATATAAATATATTATTTTATGTTATATTTTATTGTTTTATTAATATCTGTGTATGAATATTTTTCACTGTTTCAAATTCTTTAAAGAAAATATACATCAGATACATATTTATACATAAAAACTTTGATATAAATTCGAATATCCTTGTAGAATTTTTATAATTTTATAACATATTAGTCTTCCGGAAATGTTCATTAGATTTTTTTATTTTGTCATTGAACGTACTTATAATTGACGCATCAAAGTTGACTTCGTTAAAAATAATTAGCTCGTAAAAAATGTGAACTTTATATTTTCCTTACTTTATGTTTTCAATTTTCTTTATAAGAAAATTATGAGAAAACATAACACTGGGAGATAATAACATGGTTGCAATATTGCGATATTGCAATATTTGAAGTTATGGTGAGATAATAACAATCAAAATTATGCTATTATGTGATTGTCGAAGTAAAGGTGTATATATAATAACAGTAAATAGTCAAAGTTATAATAAAATTCTATAAAGGAATGTGTGGGATTAAAGAAAAATTATGCAAACTATAAAACGTAGTACAAGTTAAAAAATGCACTGCAAGATGCTTGCGGCGGTGTTTTTTATACTCGCTGCAGAATTAATTCACTGCGCTGTCCGCGTCACGAGAACTAATGCGCAGTATAATATAATGATATACAGCGTGTTGCGAGAATCGAGTTTCGAGTCGAGTCGTTGTTAAGCAGAAAACAGAGTAACGTTAAAGCGGATGGTAAATGCCAGAGCGCACCAGCATCAGAGTAATTACCGGTTTTTAAGTGGAGGAAACGAGGGGCGAGTCCGACGACGAGGGTCGAAAGAAAAGGGACCGAAGGGAGGATCAGAGGGGTGCGTCCAACAGCTATATACAGTGTCACTCTAGTATGAAAGGGGATCGCGTCTTATCGCCCATCGAATATAAAGTCGACGATGTTTTATTATTGTAAGCTCAACGAAGACAACAAAGAGAATGTGACTCGCATCAATGCATAGCGGTATTATTATCCAAATGCAATATAGGGTTATTTTGAAGAGAGAGAGAGAGAGAGGAAAAAAAAGAGAGAAACATGTATATATAAATATTAATGTATATGTGTCCTATCTTGCAGTTATTCAATAGCGAGCTTTTAGGTTATTTTGAAGAGAGAGAGAAAGAGGAAAAAAAGAGAGAAACATGTATATATAAATATTAATGTATATGTGTCCTATCTTGCAGTTATTCAATAGCGAGCTTTTTAAACATTTTCTTTCTTAATATTTTTCATTCTTCAATGATTTCGAGATTTAGATATAAGTGCATTATTACAGAATTAAATGCAGACGCGTAAAATTTGTATATACTTATTGCTTGAGAAATATAGCGGAAAAGACCACTGTGCATCATGGTTATAAATAGAGTCATAGATGTGTTAATTAAATAAAAATTGTTATTATTTTTTGCTTTAATTATATTTTTTAAATAAATTTTTTCATCATACAATCATGACTGCCATAGCGTAAAGTAAAAAAAAATGTCGCAAAAGATTTTTTTTCTTTTTAATTACATATCTTACGCATGTCAATTTAAACTATGTTCTCTGAGATACATCTATATTCGCCACTTTTCTAACCTTGATCTATGAACTTTTTATTTGTATTAATATTTAATGTATATCTTCTTCATTTCTGTTTTAACACCTTATATTTTATCTATTCATTCCTTTTAATTTTAGATTCAAAGTGCACAGATTCTTTCCATTATAATATTCAAGTTCCTAATATTCGCCATTATCAACCGAAGCTTTTATATTATAAAAGCGCGCCGTCAAGCACCGTTTAGGCAACGATAATCGCAGTCGAATTGTCGCTGTTTAAATTGCCATCTCTGGCGTTTATGCGCCGGTTACCTCTCGTACCGTGCATTTCTCCGTCTAATTAATTGGCCAGAAACTTTCGGGCCGTGCCCGCCAACCTTCTCTAATTATTCGTTCCTTTCATTCTCGCGGGAGGAGCGGAAAGGGAGGTCGGGACATGGAGGAGAGAAGGAATTGCTGGACAACAAAACGAAACAGAGGACAACTTACTTCCGTCGAGTTACAAAGCACAAGCAACAGCGGGCCTATTCGCACCCGCTTATTAAGCGAAGATAAAGCCCGCAAAATCAAAGAGTATTTCCCACTCCCTTTTAGTTCCTCTGGCATTCATTCGCGACTTTCTTACTCTTTCTTATTTTCTCTCAATTTTCTTAAATTTTCCCCTTTCTCGTCTCTTCCCTTTTTCGTGTTCTGAATAGTTCGAAGTCCACTGACAATTAAGAGTTTTGTTCTTTACCCTTTACCCACCGATGAGTTCGTTTATGAAAATATGGCGAACCAAGTAAATCTATTTCGTCGATGAAAAAATTTAAGATCGAGATTACAGCGCCTGAAGTTGAACAAAAGCAATTTTTAGTTAGAAATGTAGAATTAAATGATGCGGAATAATTAATAAAAATTATTTTACACGATTGTTTTTCTATTGTATTTTAATATAGTAAAATGTTGAATCATCCAATACAGATTTTTTTTTGTGAGAGAAAAAATATTTCTTTATATATATATATAAATTATTTATTTATTTATCCATTTGAAGGATACTTAATAGAAATGCAGATAATAATTTACGAGCAAAAGCAATCTACGCTGCGAGATTCGGGATACATCCGTGGGTTATCGTTGCGGATTAACCGAGATGTGCCGTCGATAGATTTAAATTTCTTTCGCCGTGGTATAACGAGAAGTTTCTCGGGTAGGTGGAGGTCGCTTAAGAATGTTGGGAGGGGGGGGGGGCGGGGGGCAACGGAGACGGCGAACGAAGGAGACAGAATGGAGAGATAGAAGAGGGGATCGTCCGGGAGAGAGTCGGGGGTTGAATCCCTCAGCGCCACGTCGTAGCTCATATCTGCCGCAAGGGGACGCGCGGATCCTGTATGCAGGGGTTGAGGCATGGGGTTACTCTGCGGGTTGTAAATTAATGGTTAGCCCGTGGCATGGTGGGGTTCGGCCTAAGGGTTCTGGTTGATCTATGGGCGGCATGTGTGCCAGGTCAAACGGGCCTTGCCCACTGATACGGAAGCAAGAGAATTTCTCTCTCTCTCTCTCTCTCTTTCTCTCTCTCCTTCTAGCCCCGCGTTCTCTACTTGCTCTTACTTTGTCATCCTCTTTCTTCTGGTTGCGGTAGAATGTAAAATCGATAACTGTTTTGATAAGGCTACTCGATATATGTAGATAGGAACAAATTTATCGGTGAATATAAGAGCGAGTGCTTAAAATATAATTCGATTATTGACTTGATTTTTTACATTAATATTATATATATCTATTATTTTCACTAGATCTATTAACTCATGATTAATTTATTTCAAAAACTGATAATAATTCTTATAAAGGCTTACAATAAGATTAATTCTTTTTGGTTGAATTGTTAATCAAGTACTTGTTAAATTAATATATAATATATATTCGTCTCTAGAATAAAAAAATAGTGCGATGCAGCCGAGCCAATCTCTCCTTTACGAGTTTCTGGAGTTGTCGTAATAACAATGAGATCCCAGTTGCGATCAATGCGTAATGGCGGTTATTTGAACGCAGTTAACTTTAATATTCTCCGGAATCGTGCTTTGAAAAGGGCTAGTAATGTGCCCTTGGAAAATCGATAATCTGCTTCTTCTTACCTTTCCTTCTTTTATTATCGACCATTTCTAATAGAATATTTGAGCTATACAAATTAAACGTATCGTACTGCTCGATTATATTTTGTGGATTCCTGTAAGTCGTCAATTTATCCTTCAAAAATTTATATTGCACTACAATATGTATATCTTTTTTGATCATTTTGACAGTCTTTTTATTTCGATCATCTTTCGTTGTGAGAATGAATCTGATATAAAAATATTTACGGTGCGTAATATTTAACTAAAATCTTCTTAAACAGGCAAAGCGCTAAGTCAACGAAGCACTTTCTTGAGGAATTTACGTTTGTACACGATCGTCTTTAGACTGTCGAGGTACTGTACGATCGTTATTCCTCGTTAAACGAATCGAAATCCTCATTTCTGGCGATTCTACTTCTTTCGAGGGAAGCAAGCACGCGGGCTCTTCTATCGACAGTCTCATTTCCTGCCTCGAACTTATCAAGACAAATATACGCCGAGAGAGCACGCTCCCTCGACTTGCAAGCTCTTGCCGTCCATCCATCGGAAAATATCTCTAATGAACAAACTATCCGATTTGAGCCCGTGCTACACCATCTCGACACGCCTTCTTCTCGGGCGTCGATCCTCGCCTCGCGAGGAGGTTGCAGCGTCTTCGATAACCAATCTCAATTTTGCCACGATATATCTGTTACGCAATCTCGAGATTTTATTGAGGGTCTTCCCTTTCGCTTTTTTTCCTCTTTCCTGAACAATCGTGGTATGACGTTCACACTTACTAAATCACACGAAGAATGTCTAGATCTTGTCGAGGATTGAAAGGAGAGCTTGTTGATATTACACGTGGTTTCTTACTCTATTATACTTATTTATTTATATTTATATTTATTTATTATACTATGATATTATATTCTTACTCTTTTATTCAATCTTTTCCTCTTGGTCTATTATTTATGTTATAATTATAAAAAAGAGCATAATGGTTTCATAAAAATGGAAAGCAGCCTTGTTTTTCTATTTTGTTCTATTAATAAAATATAAAATTTTATTAAATAAAACGGAAAATCATTATTAAATAAATTTGAATTACAACAACAAATATTATCTTAATTAAATCTAATTTTTAATTCAAGTTCGAATATTAATTAATTCGAGATTTTTCTTATTTTACATATCCTCTTTTTCAGTTTTCCAATATTATACTATAACATAGTATAAAAGTTAGGATCAATAAGTTCAGTCAGATAAGATATCATAGCGTATATAGAATGCGAAGGAGATCGCGAAGA